TGAGAGTTCAATTATTTCTAAAAAAGACCATGCCCACGCTCTAATAAATATAAGTGAAGCAAAATAGCATTCTACAAATAATGGTTTTCTATCTGTAGAGAAACGGGCATCCAAACTTCAAATGATATAAGTGAAGCAGATGAAGCATTCTATAAGGCCATACTCAAAAGATATAAGTGAAGTGCAAAGAGCATTCTATAAATCAAGCAAGGACTATCTCATACCAGCATGGTGCATTGCTAAAAGAAAAATAAAAAGCACACGACACTCCAGGAATTTATGCATATCATGTGAACAAAACAAAAACTGAGACATACCGATAATTCTTGAAGAAGAAAGATGGGATGCCTTCTGGGGCATCCCCAAGCTTAGACGCTCGAGTCTCCTTGAATATTTACTTGGGATGCCTTGGGCATCCTCAAGCTTGAACTCTTGCCTATCCTTATTCTCCTCATGTTGATACCTCCTCGATCTTCGAACACTTCATCCACACAAAACTTAACCGAACTTTTTATTAGAAGGGTTAACATAAAATCACATCATGCCCTACTATAACATTATTGTATAATTATAATCAAACATTAACCACTGTATGATATCACAATTATATGGCTCCCAAGTCAACGGGGCTCAACAAGATTTCAAACATAAGCAAATAAAGAAACAATACCAACAATCTGCGAAAACAGGACAATCTATAAAGATGCAAATGGTACATATACTTATGTAACCTGAAAAAATCTGGAAAATAGTGCAAATAAAAAATTAATAGCAGTACTGTGTAAAAATTTCAGAAATTTTCGACGTTCGAGTGAATTATCAAAATTCACGCACCACAACCAAAGTTTCTATTTTTGCACTGCACATACCAAACAAGCAATTTAAACATCCTAAAGGTAAATCTTGGCACACTATTTTTATAATACAATGGATTTGTACAAGGGGGTAATTATTTTTGTTTGAAAAGTTTCTGTAATCAAGGTTCACAAAGTTTCCATGGGCATGAACAAAGTTCAATGCATGCTCCCACTTCAACGGTGCTCGTCTTTCTCACTTTCACTTTTCTTTTTGAATTTTTTTAGATTCCCCTCTTTTTAAAAACTTTTTAAAAGCACACAACAGAAATAAACGACTCTCTAAAACTTTCGGGTTGTCTCCCAAGTAGCTCTTTCTTTAAAGCCATTAAGCTAGGCATAAAGTGCTCAAGTAATTGATCCACCTGGATCCCAAGGTATACAAAGACAATTTTAATTAACAATAATTTGTAATTTAATAGTGAGCATGTAGCAACATAAATCTTGCAATGACGAAGTCTAACTCTCTTCCTATGCATCGGCATGGCATAGAAGAACAATTCATGCACACAAAGTAAAGGCCGATGCATAGTATAAATTGTTTCTTGCAATTTTATCATATTGGAAACATAGAAAGGTGGAGATGTCATAACAATTGCAAGTAGGAGCAGCAAGCACATGCATATTATATTCATCAAAATAATCGTGTGCAATAGTAGAACACAACCCATCAATATGATCCTTAATAAGTGGAAACTTCTCCAATATAGTTTAGTTGGGAGAATTCAAAAAGATAATAGGACTATCATGTGTGGGTGCAATAGCAACAATTTCATGATTAACATGAGGAACTATAACGAGTTCATCTCCATAAGCATCATCCATATTGGCATCATGGCTACAAGCATAGCAAGCATCAAGTTCATCAAAAGGGGATATTTCAAACGAATCCAAGGGATCATAGCAATTATCATAGCATTCATCCTTTGGTAAGCACAAAGGGGAATGAAACAATTTGTGAGTTGAAGAGTTACTATCATTAGAAGCTAGGAACGGGTAGCTAATCTGCTCTTCATCCTTTTGTTCTTGGCTCTCCTTGTCATCTTTTTCATCTAATGAGCTCACAGTTTCATCAATTTATTCTTCCATAGATTCCTGCAAATATTAGTCTCTTCTTTGGTAGCGGAGACTTCCTCAATAAATTCATCAATATCGACATTGTATTCATAATTCTCATAGCAATATTTAATTATAGCATAATTTTCAGATATGTAAACAACATCATCACATTTTTCATACTTCTCAAACAAAGATTTAATTTCATAAGCACCCTTAAAAGCAACAAATTATTCTATTTGTTCCACATCATAGTAACCATACATACCATTAGCATAAGAAGCCAAGGTTTCATTATCATTAAATTCACATGAAAAGGGAAGGTGTGGAGCCTTCATCCTAGATCAACAAGTATAAGCATATCCGAAGCATAAATTCCAAGCACACCTGCAAAATAATCAATTTAGTCCCATAAGTGTTTCCCTTTTTGAGACAAGCGATAATCCCTAAAGTATTCCTATTGATCCAAAGTATCCCCCATTATCAAGTTGAATGGGGATTTATTAGGATTATCAAAGTAGTGTTTAATATTTTCCACATAACGAGCATCGAGGGTTTTAGGAGGTTCCCCCCATCTCCATGAGTAGCAAGTACAACTAATTTTTTTGGTATTTCGTGTTGCATATCCATAACTAAAGATATAAAACAACTTAGAATAGAAAATAAAAACTACTTAGTGATAAAGCAAACAAGCACACACGAGAATATCAACCCCACGCTATTGCTCCCCGGTAACGGTGCAAGAAAAGGGTCTTGATAACCCACAAGTATAGGGGATCAATTGTAGCCTGTTTCAATAAGTAAGGGTGTTGAACCCAATGAGGAGCTAAAGGTAGAATTAATATTCCCTTCAAGTTTGATCGACCATCGATACAACTCTATGCACACTTAAGGTTCGCTTTACCTAGAACAAGTATGAAACTATTTTACGAGGATAAAACTAGAACTACTTTGCAAGAATAAAACTAGAAGTACTTAGTGAGAATAAAATAGGAGTAATTTGCAAGATAATAAAAGTTAGTTGTTTAGTAGAAAGTTGTTTGCAGCACAAGAGAATGATTTATCCCTAGGTAATTGGTAACTAGACTGATAATCATTATTGCAATTTTATGTGAGGAAGAGGCATGAGCTAACATACTTCCCTTACTTGGATCATATGCACTTATGATTGAAACTCTAGCAAGCATCCACAACTACTAAAGATCATTAAGGTAAAACCCAACCATAGCATTAAGTAACAATTCCTCTTTACTCCCATACGCAACAACCCCCTTACTCGGGTATAAGCTTCTGTCACTCTCGCCACCCACTATAAGCGAATTATGAACGTATTGCTACACCCTACAGTGGTAATCCCTCACGCTTGCGCGACAGGGAGGGCAGCGTAGGACAACACCAAAACAAAACATACAACTCAAACCAATCACGATCATCAACCGACCCATTGGACAAAAAGAATCTAGTCAAACATCATAGGATGGCCATACATCATTGGATAATAATACATATCATTAAGAACCATGTTTAAGTATAGATTATAGCGGGAATAGAGAGGTTACTCCACTGCATAGAGGGGGAGAGGTGGTGATGACAGCGGCAAAGTTGTTGGTGTAGATGGCCCTCACGATGGTTCCCCCGTGGCGCTCCGATGCCACCAGAAGAGAGGGGAGAGAGCCCCCCATCCTCCTCCCTCTTGCTTGGCCTCCATCCTAGATGGGAGGAGAGTTTCCCCTCTGGTCCATGGCCGCCATAGCCCCTGGAGGGAAGGAGCCCCTCCGAGATTGTATCTCTCTCTCTCTCTCTCTCTCTCTCTGCCTTCTTTTTCGCGTCTGTTTTCGGACCCCTTCACTTTTTTCCCGGAGATCCGTAACTCTGATTGGGCTGAAATTTTGAGGGGATTTTTCCTGGGAAATTATATTTCTTAAGGTGAAAGAAGGGCATCAACCGACTTATGTGGGAGTCATAAGGCAACACGGCGTGACCCCCTGGCCGCGCCCTGTTACCTTGTGGCCACCTCGGGCACCGTCTTGCTTGATTCTTCTTCCCAAAAATCACATATATTCCAAAGTAATTCTTCGTAAAAATTTATCACGTTTGGACTTCGTTTGATATGGATCTTCTGTGAAACAAAAAAGCATCCAAAAAACAGGAACTGGCACTGGGCACTTGATCAATATGTTAGTCCCAAAAATAATATAAAATGTTGCCAAAAGTATATGAAAGTTGTAGAATTTTGACATGAAACAATCAAAAATTATAGATACAACGGAGGTGTATCAACTATCAAGGTGATAAAGAGGAGTGGGAGGCGAGGCTTGAGATGATTATATTATCCTTTTATCAAATAGGTGTAGTTGAAACATAGTTAACATGTTGATGTTTTCAAACTAAAATAGTTAAACCACATGATCTTCAAGCAACATGGACCTTCCTTATAGTCACTTCCACTAATTCCTCAAACCCCCACCCCTATCCTATTCTATACAACAGGCTTCATACTCTCTAAAATCACCACCCATCGCGATGCTTATCCAACAACTCTTTTTCTCTTCCTTGCTATCTTCCAGCAACTGTGTAATCACTTTGTTAATTTTGTGAATCCTAATATTCCATAGCTTTGTATCCTCTATCACTACTCATAGTCCCTGGAAGTCCTCCCATTTTCCTTGTTTCCATTTTATCATATTTCATAGCTAATCACATGTTTATTCACACACTCTTCTAGGCATGGCATGACCTAGTCAATCTAACACCATAAGTAGGCTTGATAAGGGGGTCAATAAAGAGGATATAAGTAGGCTTACTCAAGAAGTGATAAAAATTAATCGAAGTTCAACAAATTATTGCTCATTTTGTTAAGTATCTCAAGTATAACCTTTTGAAACCATGTTATAGATTACATTTCATGTAAATTTTTAGTGTTGGGATCATTACGATCCACTTTAATCATAAGATCCATTTGAGAATACTAACACTCCACTGTGAGAGAAAAATAATACTAACCATTTCTTCAAACTTTTATTTGTTATTGTAAAGATAATATGACTAACGGAAAATCATGGGACTAATTTTTTCTGAATTGCACTACAGGTCTTCATTTGCATAACAATTATCATCACAGATGGAATGTTCAACTTCCTTACGGTCATTATTGCATCTTGTATTGACATTAAGCACAAGCGGCAAGATATTGATTCAGGGTTGAGTAATTACATGAAAAAATACCCTAGCCTTAACTATGATGATCGTAAGAGGATTGAGGTATTTCTTCAAAATAAAATCCCTTTAACCATATCAGTGGGAGGATACATTGCAAGTGCTACAATCTCAGTAGTCGTTATCCCATGGTTGTTCGATCAGATTAAATTCTATCATGTTGCCACATTATATATTATCACGCCGGTCATTGCGTTTGCAAACACTTATGCAAATGGACTTACAGATTGGTCAGTTGGATATACTTATGGCAAGTTTACAATATTTGTTGTTGCGGCATGGATTGTGAAACCGGGTGCAATTGTTGCTGGCCTTGTAGCTTGTGGGATAATGATAGCAGCTCTGCACATTTCTTCACAAGCTACACAAGACATCAAGACAGCTTTCATGACACTAACCTCGGAAAGAGCTATGGTAATTGGGCAAATTGTTGGTGTAGTTATTGGCTCTATTGTTAGCCCATGTATATTTCTTGCCTTTCAAAAAAGTGAAAAGCCTGGGGTTACTATTGGATCTGCTCAATCACATTACCCATGTCCTTTTGCTGGACTCTTTCGTTCCATCGGTGTGATTGGCATTGGAGGAGTGAAGGAGCTCCCTAAGTATTGTCTTACAATGTGCTTTGCTGCATTTTGCATAAAAATTGTCACAGATGTACTTTCATTGGTATCTCAGGAAAAAGGTTGGAGAATGCACAAGTATCTTCCTAATATGACAGTGGTAGCACTACCATTCTTTGCAGGGCCCGATTTCCCCATAGATATGTGCCTAGGTACTGCGGTAATGTATCTATGGACTAAAATGAATAAAAGAAGTTCAACTTTGTTGTCATCGGCAGTTGCAGCAGGCCTTATATGTGGAGAGGGACTATTTGCATTGCCATCAGTAGTACTCACTACGTTCAGTATACAACCACCAATGTGCATGAAGTTTTTTCATAGTGGAAAAGAAGTTGATGTCGTTGAATCATTCTTAAATAAGTTGGGAACACCCACAAAGACATGAGAAATGTAACTCTAGGATAAAGTATTTTTTTCTTAGATTGTAAGCGAGATGTAAATGGTTACTCATAGAACATGCCAACGGCTAATTTAATTCCATATGCTAAATGATTTCAAAATATGGAAACAAACACTATGTGGCTAACTATACAAGAAAGTACCATGGTTCAAAGATTCACATTACAAACTCAATCTTTGGTCGAAATTTGCATATTTCGGACAAAAAATTCATTTCCAAAATTTTGAGTTGCTAGTTTGTTGTTACTAACAACAAAGTTCTGATATTTTTCTTGGAAGATACAAGGTGATCTCAAGTTTGCTACTTTTCACTTATAGGAAACTAGTGGGGTGGCTCGCGCATTTGCGCGGCTAGATTTTACTAAAGTTATATCACTCCTAATATAAATATTTTCTCAAATACTCCACTTGGACCATTGTTTCTTATATGAATACGTTTTCTTCTTCTAGAAAATAATACTATGAAAAAAACATTAATTGAATATTCCTTGATGTAACCAAGCTAAAGTTATAACATATTGATAGTCATTGTTAGGGATTTAAATGTACAAATTTTCTTGATGGTATTTTATGATTCATTGTCTATAGGTAAATAGGAACCAAAGGAGTAACATTTTAGAAATCCTTTCACATAATTTAAGGAATTAAAACCCAAACATTATTACCTCATGTTGAGTGTCCATACATATGCCGCATGGTTTATCCATCACTATAGTCTGCGTGCTATAGAAAATAAATGAAATCGGTAATTTTATTTGAGAATGGATCTGTGTTTCAGCTTTACTTTATTTCAAAATGTTGCGTAGATTTTTTTAAGTTCAAACTAATCTACATTATATTATGTTAAGTCTTAAAAGTCTAAGTAGGTTTATCAACGTACGTTTGCTGTGAAATTCAAGCACGGAAAAGTATGTTAAAGTTCTATTAATTTTAACATAAAACTTTTGTCGCAATTTAGCAGATTTTGGTTTGTACCTGATCACTCCATGCGATTCATTTGCAGTTTGTGGATCGAATTATCATTGAAATATTCTATTTAAACGTCGATTACATAAGGTGTCTAAAATCATTTTCTTTCTCGTAAATACCAATGTTTTTTCTCTAGTATATACAAATGTACAGTACCTGTAAAAAAATATGGTCTTAGAATAATGTGTGCCCTTCTACCTAGGATTTTGTTTTGCTCATAATTTGGCTATAGAAACAAAATAAGTGACGACAATTTGTTTCAGTCATCTTAGATAAATGTGTGAAGTTCTACCTTCAAAATCCACAAATTTTCTATTTTCACAATAAACAATCAGCAGTATTGTATTTTTAGACGGAATGATTGGGTGGCCTGGCTGTACAGTGGTGCCTTTTCTGTTTGCAGCTAGATAGTGGTCCGCCAATTTTCTGTTTTGCACATACGGTAGTACGAAAAAGAATATACTTCTAGATCTTGCTTGAATTTATTGACACAAAAAAGACCGTGTTGGAATTCTATTAGAATCCAATAGTACTTGATCTCGCAAAAAAAAGGATACAATAGTACTTAGCTGAGGAGTGTGCATGCATGTACTTACGCCACACATGTTACAATAATGTTTTTCAAAAACGCTATATATTCTAAAAGAGGCTATATATTGCTTATTGTCTAAGGGAATCTCTTATTTAATTTCTTTTTGCGAAAGAAATCCCTCATTCACGGTGGCACATATGTTAGCTTTGAGGTTGGGAATGAGTTTCTTCCATAAATCAACAATCCCATTATACATTTAGTTTAAAGAACAAATATTGAATAGCCTGCTACTTCGTCCAATGTCAAGTTGAAAATAATCACCGTGTCTAATTTGTAGAACATGTAAACCAAAAGAAACGATAGAAATGTTTACAGAACTTAGAGAATACGTGATTAACACCTCACTACAATGCTTCTTAAATTCTTCTACGTAATTTAGAACCAAGAAATAGCTATAAACATGTGTTTCCTTCCTCCATCGGCCTGGTCATCAGTGATAGTATATTACATTATTTAATTGATTCGATTAGTGCAATGTTCTATATCACGCACACGTGTGTCTTACTTAGTGTGTGTTATGTACCGCACACCTAACATAGTGTAATTACCGGAGCACATTCATCAAACATCGCTAAATTACTCTCTCTCTCTCCATGTGCATATGCATGGTGTTTGCGTCAGATTGTATTGTTTAACACGTACACACGAATAGTTTATTACTCCTTCCGTTTTTAAATATAAAGTCTTTGAAGAGATTTCATTATGGGCCACATACGGAGCAAAATAAGTGAATCTATATTCTAAAATGCATCTAGATACACGAATAATCGCGAGTGAACATGCCATCACGCGCGGGCGATATCCATACCACACGACGCCGCGAGATTTGTGCAACATTAATACACTTCGGCTGTATAATCAGTTCACTCCTTCGTATAGCATTCAGTATTCATGCAGTATTGTCGCTGACACGTCCCGTGTATGGCCCATGAGGCAATACAAACATTTAAATTGCTGGCAGGCGGCTAGGATGGCAGTGCCAACAGCTAGCTCCAGTCCGCTCCCCCACGACCTTTTTAAACTGTCTCGGCGCTTGTAGATTCACATCCCGCTCAAGTTTTCATACCACCTCTCTTCCCCTCTGCCTCGCAAGCATGTGTTCATCCAAGTCTGAGCTTAGCTCCGCCCCCCTGCGTCACACCACTGCTCCACCTAGATGCCACTGCTTCCTCTGATCCGCTGTCCGGAGTGCAACGCCGGCAACGTGCTCTGGTTCGTCTCTGGAACGGTAGAGAACCCAGGGAGCCATTTCTACAAATGCGAATGGCATGAAGTAAGTATTTCAAGATTCTTCGCGTCCATCTCCCGCAGCTCCTCCTCTCAAACCAAGCTCTTTTTGTGTTTTTCAGTTTGGTGGATGCAGGTTTTGGAAGTGGGAGAACAATTATATAGTACTTCAGCACTTGCTGGGGTCATCTACTCTTGCACGCATCCGTGTATCGGCATGTAACTCTGCTTGAGCAGAATCAAGCATGGTTGAAGAACATTTTCATCTTGGGCGTCCTGAACATGGTGCTAATGGCCATATGTTGCATGCACAAGTTCTGAAGCAACATGTTGTTATCGGCCAGACCTGCAAGTAGATGTTCTAAAAGCTAGCTAGTGACATGTGTGCGGTGCGAGATTAGATGTAGTTCTAGCATTCAATAGTTCTCTCTTATGCAGTCATTGTATCACGTTTGTACTGTGTCTGTATGCCGGCTTAGATGCATTAAATGGTCATTATTTGCGAGCATGTTGTTAATTAAGCCCGATGGATCGTGTGAGAGGATGCAAATGTAAACCCAAAACCACACACCGCACCCACCTCATGCAGTGCACCGGCAATAATTTGTGGCTCCGGTAGCATAATAAATACGTAGCAGACGAATGAATGCCCCAGCTTGCCCTGCAAAACATTAATCCACCCAGCAACCCATTGATGTTTCACCCACTCATGAAATGATCATGGGGATCACTTGTAAAAAACGTATCTTCTGTTCAACTAAAAAAACACTCATTCAAAAATTTAGCCCTCATATTTGAAAACATGTTTTCATCCACTTCGAAACAATGAAACCCATGATAGTGCTCATGGGTAGTAGTTGCACTGATCAAATCATTTTTTATATAAAAAAATGGACAAACATAATAAAATTTGTTTTCTCCCTTGTCGAAAAAAAATCAACCCATTGTGGGTACAGGTCTCCATTTGAACAAATATCAATCGAGAAACTTGATATATCAATTTGTAAAACTTGCCCACAACATTCATTGTTTCTGCTTGGAAAAATGGTTTTTTCTCTTTCGATAATAATTTACACTCATTTCAAAAAGGGCCATTTGCATTTCTGTCCCTAACTCGAACCACCTAATCAGATATACCCCTAATTCGAAAGCCTGCTCAAAAATGCCCCTCCGCCGTTGCGTGCCCTTACAGAAATGCCCTTTTGCGCTGTTACCGTCCGGTCAAACAACTTTGACCGTCCTGAAAAAAATAACAAAAAAATCTAAAAAAATCTAAAATTTTGTGAGATCGAAGATACTCATGTGCGCAAGGTGCGTGCAAATTTTTGTGCTATTTGGACATTCCAGGAGCTCGTGGCGAGGAAAAACAGTTAATATGCACGCTAGTGAACAGTAAATTTGAAATAAAATAGCAAGAAAATTCAAAAAAATATGAAATTTTTTGGCATCAAAGAGGCTTGGGTGCACAAGGTTCTTGCAAGTTTTTGTGATCAAATGACTTGTGAGGAGCTCTCGCAAGAAAAAACAAAATAGTCATTTTTTCCCAAGTTTTTTCCCGGGCCAGATTTTGTTTTTTTCTCCACAAGCCCCTCCAATGTCCAAACACAACAAAAATTGGCACGCAGCTTTTAGACCATAGCCTCTTTGATGCCAAAAAATTTCATATTTTTTTGAATTTTCTTGCTATTTTTTTGAATTTACTGTTCACAGGCTTACATATTTACTGTTTTTCCTTTGACACGAGCTCCTGGAATGCCCAAACAGCACGAAAAATTGCACGCACCTTGCGAACCTGAGTATCTTTGATCTCACAAATTTTCAGATTTTTTAGATTTTTTTTGCTATTTTTTTGGGGCCGGTCAATGCCCTTTGACCGGCTTTGACCGGACGGTAACGGTGCAAAAGGGCATTTCTGTAAGGGCACGTAACGGCGGAGGGGCATTTTTGAGCAGGCTTTCGAATTAGGGGCAAATGTGAGTAGTGGGTTCGAGTTAGGGACACAGATGTAAAAGACCCTTTCAAAAAACATCTGTTTCCTCCTTCTTCAATAACATGGTTCCACCCATTTTGAAACAATAAAAACCATGATTCTGCTGATGGAGAGTAGCTAAATGTACAAAACAATGAAAACCATGATAGTGCTCATGGGTACTAGTTGTACTGATAATTTTATATATGAAAAAGGATAAACATAATAA